CTGATACATTTAAAAAGATACTTGTGTGTCTACATAAACGCGGTGTAGATATCTGCATGCACAAATGCTGACCGCCACAAACAGACAGGCCAAAAACTCAACTTTATTCATAGATTAGCATAACACCAAAACACCTTGCAGATGCAGATGAGCTGATCCCTTTGAGGGCAAAGAAAGTGGTTAATCGATATCCTCACATGAAGCTGAGACTCTGGTAGAGGAGCCAAGCACTCCAGGTAATGAACTGCCTGCTTGATATATATCCCTTACGGAGTGGGATTGCAGTGGAGCAACATGGTACTGCAACAGCAGCAATTCTTTGATTAGGCATTTCTCTTCCATCACGCTTCCCTGGCACACAGAAAGTCTCTCACTCACATACACTTACTGTTTGCTGATGTGTCAACATATTCACTGTCAACCTGTCGTGGGGCTCACAGAGCTCATATTACATTTTAATATCGCAGAGTCAACTGTGTCAGAGGGAAGCTTTATTTTAATTTACTTGTTTTTATTTTGCATCTTTAATCTAAAATTTTAAATGCTTACCTTCTGTATAACGTTGGGAAAACATGAGGCTGTAGTTATACAACCAAGTTCAAAGCTTAGGGATTCCTGAGCTCTTTTTCTTTTGATGCAAATGGAGAATTTGTGCCCAAAGCCCATGTAAAATGAGTCAAAAGCTACTTCATCTTTATCTGTTTAATGATTTTCCTACAATGGTTGAACCAGCCATGAATAACCAGTGAAGTGTTAAAAGTGCTGATTACCTGCAAAACCTATTTACTTATTCTACTAATTTCTTTTAAACTCCACACTAATGTTAACCCCTCAGATTTTCTTGGATACCAATTTTCTAATCTGTTTAATTACTCCACAGTGAAAGTAATTTGTTACACATTACAGTACTTCCACATTACAACAATTTGTCAGCATGGCCTGAATTGTCACATATTTAACATTTAACACTTATGTAGACCCTAGGCTACAGTCCCACACACTGTCGTTAATTCATATTCTAATGAAGACATACATGCAATACTTCTTTGAGATTTATCATAAATCCAAAGCAAAGTTAAGAACAAATGCATTTCAAAGCGAATGCGCTGTCCAGGTAAAAATGGAGGCTACATAATCCTGCAAGCCTGTGTCTAATTACTGCCTTTATTACCTGTTTAAGATCAGGCTCTAGCAGCTGTGCTGTAACACTCTGTGTTCTTTGTTAGCTTTGGGTTGGCATGCAGTTGATAGGGATGTTTGCAAAGAGATGTTGTTATCTTGCACTCTTTTGTGCAATAAAAATAAAAGTATTAATTTGTATGTATTTCTAATTTATGTAACTTAAATTAACTTTTGCTTTTTAAATCTTCATTTTGTACACACATGCAAAAATACTGCGAAAAGCAAAAATCTTTAAGAAGTTAAACTAGCATGGGAGTCTGCAGCATCGTTTGGAACTCTTTGGGGTCATTCTGGGCCAGATTGTAACAGGCTCTTCTTGCCAAATATTTTTACCCCTGCTAACAGCAACAATGTTAACATCCTTATGCTGCTGCATTTGTTTAGCATATATTTTAGTAGAAAACACAGAAGTACCTCTAGGAATGTTGGTCATAAATTAGAATTTTTGAAAAGTTAAAGTTTTGATGTTTCTTCAAGCTAAAAAGTCAAAACATTCCAAGTTGTAAAAATTCATCCAGAGCCAGATATGGATATTTGTGCCAAAACAATCATTTTGTTAGTTATGAAAATATTTCATTGAAACAATCATGTCACTAGCGTGCCTAAAAAGGAATATGTGAACAAAAATCTCAGAAGTATACTTTTGTTCAAATGCTAAAGCAGTGAATTGTATAATGGCAAAGCTATTTTCTTTGTGGTTGGGCTTTTACTTAGTGGCATTTAAACCACTGAAATGTTTTAGCTTTCTGAAGTAAAAGAAATCCTTGCACTTAATGACTCACAACCAACCAGAGAGGATTTCCCCCCAGGGCCTCATCATTGGAGTTAGTAAAAAGGAGCTGCCAACATCTCACTTGGTTTCCACATAGTTTATATGCCTGCATCACACAAGGTGTGACATGTGCAAACATATTGTTGTTTAGTAGACCTTCTGAGAAACTGGACCAGGACTGAAATTGACATCAAACAAATTAAAAAGTTGTTACAATTTATTTTATTTATTCTGACGTGTGACTTCTAAGCTACTTAATGAAACTTGCATATTACGCAGTACATTCATTTTGAACTGAACTCACTCTGTGTACTCAGCAAAATAGTTTTTTGTTTTCTTTTTTTCTTTTCTTGAATTAAAAAGTAAAGAAAACCCTGGAATGGTGCTAAAACCGTGTTACTTTCTGCAAACAATATTTTGGAATGAATTACTTATTTATCTTCTTTTCCATTCAAGTATAATGGATGATATTCTATTATTGATGGGATGCTTGGCTTAAATCCAGTGTCCAAACAGCCTTCCTACTCTCCAATAAGGAATTATATTATCAATATTGAGCATTTCAGAATGTGTCCCAGTAAATTGTCATCACTTTTTAATATAATGAAGTTGTTGGCCATTTGCAAAATGAAATGGCTCGTGGTTCATTTTTGTGACGTGAACGTACTGCAGTCCCTTGCATAGTACATTATCAAAGTCAAAGTACATTATCAAAGTCTACAGTTGCGTCTAGAGTCAGAGTTCAAATTTAAGTTGTAGTCAAGGTGTTAAATCTATTGACTGTTTAGTTCAGTCTTTGATGCCACAGTGTGAGCTGTAGTAATGAAAAGAGAATGTGTTGGTCAAGGCTATGGCTTGTAAATTTTGCCAGTTCATTTCAACTCCTTTATCCATTCCAGCGTTCTTTTCCTCACTGTGTTTCAGGGCAGCATAGTCCACAGTGAAAGCAAGAGCAAAGAAAAAACAACAAAAATGTGAAAAGATCTCCTGAAGAGTCTGACCTTATCAACATGTTTAACAAAAGGACAAAGATTCACTGAGGTAAAACAGTACAAACTTATATTTTATGCTTGCAAATCAATGCATATACTTTAAAGTGTTATATACATACATATATACATATGTACATTTTACATCAGAAATTTTTTATAAGTAGTGTATTTCCACAAATACATATCTGCTAATTTAAATATGAACGTAACCTCATCACGTAAAAATAAAATATTTAATTTCTATCTCGCAGCCGTTGTTATTTGTTAATTTCGTTAACTATGAAGACAAACTTGCACTTGTACACTTGAAACTTGCTATGGTAGCTATTATATCACAGTGACCATCATTTATAAGTTTAACATGCTCTCTAGTTTAGTAATTCATCTCTAAGTTCATCCATCCATCCATCTTCATCCGCTTTATCCGAGGCCGGGTCGCGGGGGCAGCAGCCTAAGCAAAGAGGCCCAGACCTCCCTCTTCCCAGCCACCTCCTCCAGCTTATCCGGGGGAACACCAAGGCGTTCCCAGGCCAGCCGAGAGATATAATCTCTCCAGCGTGTCCTGGGTCTGCCCCGGGGCCTCCTCCCGGTGGGACATGCCTGGAACACCTCACCCACGAGGCGCCCAGGGGGCATCCTTGTCAGATGCCCGAACCACCTCAGCTGGCTCCTTTCGATGTGGAGCAGCAGCTGCTCTCTGAGCCCCTCCCGGATGGCCGAACTTCTCACCCTATCTCTAAGTTCACACTTAGTCAAAAGATCAAGAGTGCATTGTTTCAAGTCTCTGGCTATTGAAACAGTAATGATACAGAGGTAAATGAATACAGAAAAAATAGCAATCTAAAGCACTATTGTGAAACTTCAGAAATATATCAGTGCAAAGTAAAAAGTGTGATATTTAAGAAAACATTTATTTTCTGCATGTACAGTTGGTGTACCTGGTCTAACATATGATTTATTAAAAACAAGTGAACAAACTGTTCAGTCCATGGCCCTCTCCCCGTCAGCCTGATAAAAACAAGAGAGGGTCAAAACCTAATCAGGCCCTATTGATCTGCTTGCACTGATCCAGTCCAGAAGTCTTTGGACTTTAAATTTATAATCCTCGGAGGGTCCTTGGGGCTGTTCTTCATGCCTGATACAGTTCCTTTGCTGGTCATTATAATGAGGCTTTAAGCAGCTCGGTGACTGTAAATCTGCTACGCTAAGATTGCATTGCTTCAGATCTGACTGGACCTCACCTCGGTAAATCTCACATACAGAACCGGAGAATAATTTACTGCTCTTCCGCACAGTCGCCAGTGCAGCGCGAAGTCAGCAAATGATCCCAAGACACCGACACTGTCAAATTATGTTGCGGGTCTGGAAGAGTATTAAGTCCAAAATATCAACATCTGTAGTTGGATGCTTGAGAAAATATTACTGAGACTGGTGCTTGATTAGTGCTGTTAGTCACATAGGTGTGAATGCTGAAATCAGCCTATTTCCCCCTCATGCTGCTGTCTGTGGAAAAGCTTTAATCTTTAAAAGATGAAAAAAAGGTTTCTTTGAGAATGTTTTTCCTGTAGTTCGCGGAGATACTGACTATCATGGAGCATAATTAGGGCACAGGTGAAACAGAGATTAAATAAATACATTTGTGTCGTTATGCTGACATTACTGGTTCAATATAACTGCCCTCTAATTACCTATTATCTGAAATCGCTCCAGAGCTGGTGTAAACTTGAACTAACTGATCACAGATCGGTTACAGGCAGCGGCACAGGACAGATCTGGATGAGTTGCAAGTGAGAGCAGCAGCGCACTAGAGCAGGTTGCTCCTTTTTGGCGGAGGGCAAAGTCCTGGTTGCCGATGTGGTCCCAAATGGGGGCTTCAGTGGATTTCAAAGCTGGATTGTTACGAAAGAACTTCACTATGTGACAGGAGACACCGCGCTGTGATGATAAAGTGACTAAATCTCACGCTTGTAGAATCCGGCATGTCCGAAAGCTTTGCTACGGAACAGCGCAGCTTTGAGTCTTCATCACTGACGACGGACCAGATGGTACCGTAAACATGAGTCGCGCACTCTCGATCCTCGCTTATCTTCTGCCTTTGATTCACTGTAAGTGTGTTTCCCCTTTCATTTAAGTAGCAATTTAAAATATTTCTAACATTTGGTACTGTGTGTCACCGCCAAATGTATCTCCATGTTGAGGAAACTACAAAAGAATGTATGCTTTTATTGTCCAAAAGTAGAATTTTCAATGCATAAGCTCGTTTAGGCTATTTTCAACTCACCTTTTAATTATTTTTTAAAACCCAATATTTCTGTAGAAGACATAGATAGCTAAGCTTTTTAAATGTAGCTGAAATATGATATGAATCTATCTATCTATCTATCTATCTATCTATCTATCTATCTATCTATCTATCTATCTATCTATCTATCTATCTATCTATCTATCTATCTATCTA